GCGCGGGAACAAAAACAAATGTACTAATAACTTATAAACGAGAACACAAATGGGAGTATGTAAAAAGAGTAACACTCAGTGGAAAAGAAATTGGCTTAGGGATAGAATACGTGTAATCATAGGTATGTAGATAAAGAGAAAAGAGAGAGACACAAAGAAATAAACAAAAGTACAGTAATAAAGAACATAAGCAGCAGAGAAACATATACATGCAATTATTTTTCTATGTTGTTTAATTTTTCCTCATTACGACGTTATTAATTAATATAATAACATGGAAGTGTTTAATGAAATAGGAGGGGAGTACGGGAACATGCACACTATGTTTTAAATGCGTTTTTTCGGAAAAGAATGGGTAAATGTCAAATACATTGAACCGGCACAGGGTCGTTTACTGGGCCTGTCTCTACTTGCGGGTTTTTGAGTTATTCAAACGCGTTTCGGTATTGTGCCATCTTCAGAGAGGAACAATAATACAAATTACGTGTGTGCATGCTTTCTTAAAATTTTTGCTCATTAAGTTCGGCCCAATGGATAAAATACTTACGGTAGGAATCCATTTTATAAGTCAACATTCCATTTCCTCTGTCATGATAACAAACCGTAATGTTAACTGTGACAGGTCATGGAAGTTGTAGCGGTTCGATTAGCGGGATGGCTAATAGAGTCGTTTCTGGAATTATTGGACAGGCCCTCTGGCAAAGAAAGGCCAAACGACGAGTGGCATGTCGCTCTCGGCTGCCATCTGTTGATCCGTGTAATTGGACATTACATCCCTGTTTTTGTTTATTCATTTTGGCCGGCCGCCGTTTCGTTAGTTCGGCCCGGCCGACGTCTCAATCCGGACCGTGACCGATCCGATTTCACAGTCTTTTTTCTTCCGGGATCACAAACAATCTGCGGCGGATAACTCGATTATCGCACCCCTTTGTGTTAAATTCGTAACGTCTAATAAAATCACTTAATGACCCCTCTGGTCCTATGGATTTTTTCTTCTTAGCTAAGCTAAGCTACGCCTAGGCGGACAATGGGGAGGCATACAAAAAAAAGGAGGATGTAGGCTTTACCAGTGGACAATTACGGCCACGGCTTAAAAAGCTTACAAAAAACTAATAATATTCAATGAGCTTCTAGTGTTTTGTATTTTAATGTTTAGTTTAATCATCCTAGAAAGTCAATTACTTATTATGTAAATAGAAATTTTGAAACGATAAATCTCTCTCATTTTATTCTAACGTAAAAAACATCATTGTTTACGACATACATATGTGTTTTCATTTGAACACGAAATACAATTGGATTTATGTTTCAAAACAACAGAAACAGCACGTACAACACTGAAGTATAAAGTACGTTGAATATATAAATAATAATTTGAACGTCTTTACACCGTAACGAAAAATAACCTTATATTTTTATGCTAATCTATTATTCAATCCTATTCTGAAAAATCTATCGTGTAATAAATAGTATTAGGCACCTATTTCATAATTTCTAAAGCAATAGAAAAACCAAGAACTATATTTAAAAAATGCTGAAATAGATACATGTAAGACGTTAAAGTGAATAAAAAGTCTGAAAACTAGATTGATAGACACATATAAATTGAGATATGAAGAAAGATAGAAAGGTTATATACACATATAGAGATATACTGATAGATACATAAATAAATAGATAGCGAGGGAGAGGGGGAGATGGAGAGAGAGAGAGAGAGAGAGAGTGAGAGAGAGAGAGAGAGAGAGACAGAGAGAGAGAGAGAGAGATAAAGAGAGATAAAGAGAAAGAGAGGGAATGAATGAATGATTACTGTTCTATATAACCTCAAATCGGAGCACGCGCGTAAAAACAAGATACATGTGAGTACAGCCTATCACTTCTCGCAGTCCACAGACAATTTCAGTTTCTATAATTTACAATAAAACACCGGTAGGCCTCGGCAATGACCCACCCCATGTATTGGTAATCCGGGGTGAGACCACGGTCTTTCTTATCCTACAGCTACCGAGGTTGTGCAGCTGAAGTATCAGCAGCAGGATCGGTATGTACGTCTTTTCAGCCCCAACGCAATCCGTTCCTAAATCCAAACCCATTCACTCACTATTATTTTCTTAACATTCACTCAGGGTAGAGGAGTACTCTATATTTCTCCATCTCTCTTTTCACCACAGACACTTTTTTTTAACGAAGGTTCGCTACAGCAGAGGTCTATCCACCCTCAAGGAGCCGGTATGTTTGAAAAAACAAAAAACATTTGTAAGGATTCGAACCTGGGTCCCTTACCTCAGTGATGAGCGCCGTGTCAACGCCTAAACCGTTGTGGCCACCTACGCCCCTTTTTCACATTTTATATAAATAACATAATTTAGAGTACATCTCCTCTAAGAATCTAAGCACGGGGCCCAGAGAGTCCCAGCAATGCTCTTATAGGGTGCCCCCAGATAGTCCCAGCACTGCTCTTATAGGGTGCCACTCATACACAGAGAGCGCCTATATGGAACCAATAAATTCCACCTTTCAATTATCCGGAACACATTGAACAATCTTTCTCCTCATAATTGACCTTTACTCAAGCTTTAACCCGAAAGTAAGTGTCCATGTGTCAACCTCCCATGGCCCATCCTAAATCCGGTGAGGATGACTTTCTACAGGTCAGATCGGCCGATGAGCACCTATCGACGGTGCACTTGATAGTTAAGAGCTTTTCTGGCGACGCTGCCTCATTTTTTTTAATCATACCTTATCCGACTCGTCCGCTTTTCTTCCGGAATGAATGAATAAAGTTTTATTTATGGTGGCAAAATTATATCCTACTATTATTCTACAGTAAACTTCAGGAAAACAAAAATATTTTTTTTTATAACGGCATTTCAACTACGAGGATATATGATCCCTCGTCGTGTGCCGGAGTTTTTGAAACAAAAAGCCCATTTTTATGTGTGTGTGTATGTGGCCATCGACGCCCCCAAAATATATATTTTATTTCAAATACAACTTCACTTTCTGCTATTCTTGAAGGTCTTTATTTTAGAACGTCGTACCTAAAAATCAATTAATTTACCTCAGTAAAGTCCATTAATACTTGCTCTTTGAAAATCCAATATTTGACAAGTCTGGCAAGGGCAGCTGCCCTTTTCGGTTCCCGTGTCGAATGGGCTGTGGGCGTGATAGGCCGCTCCCGGCCACGTGGGAACCCGGGCGCGTGCACCGATTACCATCGAATGCCATTTATGCCGGGCCCATTAGTTGAGTCAATATTTATTTCTTTATAATTAACGCCCCGATACGGGGAGAAAATCGCATTCAAATGCCCTGATCCGGACCGAAGCGAGACAAATTGAATCAATCTGACTTTTTGTTGGCTGTGAACGGACTGGCCCCAAACCCCAAAAGCATATCTTATTGCAGTGAATTATTTTAATATTAATTTTCTATTTCCATTGAAAACAATAATTACTTAATTACTTGGTCATTACTGCATAATAACTTTGATTATAACATCGAGGAATGACTGGCGACATCCACTGTATGATTCAGAGTGTGCGTTTTTCTCCATTTTCAGACCTATTTAGCCAAACACGTTCTACATTAGAATGCTTTGTTTTCCCTCGATTCCCCCCAGACGGGCTCTTATACGTGTACGTTTTCCTCCTTTAAGACGTAAGTCCTCTGTGCAGCTGTTAGGCATACTGTTAATAAGGTTGTCACTTATTTCATAAGGAATTTCACTCCATAGATGTTGCAACACTGTACTCAGTTGTTCCATATCAACTGGCTGCGGAAGGTGATCGAAATGCCTTCTCTACAACCCATCTCACATTTGTTCAATAGAATTGAAGTCTGGAGACAATGGGGAAAGAAGGGGCAGTTGGAAATTGCCAGGTTTTCTAAACATTGATGAACAACTCTGCCTCTATGAGGCTGGCATTGTCATCCAGAAATCGAAAATCCATACCAATGGTTTCCTTGGTTCCTGGTTTCAGGAAAGTATTCCTCGATAATTTTTTGGACATAACGGGCTGCTGGGGAGTTGCTTTCAACAATATGGAGTCCAGTTCGTTCTCCATTGTAAATCTCGGCCCTGACCATTACACCGCCTCCTCCAAACTTCACTGAAGGAGCATTAACTACGGTATCCCCTTTTCTCGGTAGACTGTTCGGCTCCTGCCATGACTGTACAGACAGAAACGCGACTCACCGGTAAACATAACAGCATTCCAATTGGAGGTCTCTTCTTCAACATATTCTCCTGAGTTGCGGGTATCGGGTTGATTCTGCAGGTAGTCTCAAAGGGGCATACGATGTGAGGCGACCAACCGTTTGTGTACATAAAGGCCTTGCTAACTGATCTTGTACTTCGTTAAGGATCTGACGGGCATTATGGAAAGGGTTCCGCTTGCATCAATGACAATATTTCTGTCTTCCTGATCCACTACCCGGCCTCGTATTGGCATTTTCAGTCTCTCGGAATCAGGCTAAATACCGGGAGACCACGCTCTGAGAAACACTAACTACCCTCTGCGATATCCAATTGCCGAAGACCTCGATGACTTATTCTCACAATATTGCGAACTTCTGGTTCAAAATGATGTTATTCCATGGTTTAAGAGAATACAACTGGATTAAAATGGACAAAAGACGAGAAAAGGTGTTTGTTTACAAAATGAGTATCTTTATGTTTACTATTCTTAAGTAAACCCGTTATTAAAAATGAGGATTAACATTTGTTTGTGTTTGGTTTGTATTTTCTATTTTGTTTAATCTAAGTAACAAGAATATATCGGTTAATTTAAGTACAATTAATAGAATAAAAATAAATTACAAATATCCCGATTCATGTTTGAGTAGTTTACATTGTTATACATTAGCATGTAAGTAGTTTCCTGCCAGTAATAGTATCGAAAAAGCAATAGATGATATCCTGCAAAACGATTCTTATACCTATCCATGAAAATAATTTATATCCGGACTATTTGGTAATTGTGATTTGTAATTTACAGATGTTGAACTCTCCGGAAGCCAAGAAGATTTGTCGAGTAAAAGAAGGCGGTCAAGAACCAACTTTAACTCGTGGCAGTTAGAGGAACTCGAGCGGGCTTTTTTGGCCAGCCACTACCCCGACGTCTTCATGAGGGAGGCGCTCGCCCTCAGGCTCGACCTCAAGGAATCCAGGGTCGCCGTGAGTAATTATATGAATTAAAATTAATCGTAAATACTTGATGATTGCTGCAGGCGGTCTATCAGATTTAAACTAACACTAACAGAGTTTCACAATGTTAGCCAATCATTGGACTACAAATATTAATGCAGGAAAAGTGTATCTTGGAAATTTTCGAGTATTCTTCCTAGGAATGAACAATCTGAATCTTCTTCTCAAGAATTTTCACAAATGAGAGTTCAATGTTCTTTCGAATGGAACGGTGTAAAATTGTGGTCCAATAGATGCGAATTTTAAACAGTTATGGAGAGTCTTACAGCTACAAACTTGGAAATGTGTTAACGGAATCTTGCGTAGCCATAAAATATTTTTAATGGCAATCTATGAAATTGAAAATATTGAAAAATAAGTGGTTAAAGTAGTGAGGAGCGGACAGGATGGTATATTTCAGAAAAACGCCTTTTTCATTGTATTACCGATCTACTTTTATTCGGGTCATCTTCAAAGCCTGGATAAATTACCAAGTTCGTTGATTGGGAAAATTTGTTTAAAAATTATACAGGAAAAATTTAAATAATTATGTATAAATATAAAGTTGAATTCTGGTTTAATCAAAATAATTCATATTCACATAAAGTGCAGTGTTATCGCTGTATACGTGGTAAAAATGTGCGAGGGTCAGATCATATAATATTAGAGACAAAAGATTTTCCCGTTTCCTTTTTCTCAAATTTTATTGTTACGTCGTAAAAGTTTTAGTTCTATGAAGACCTTACGGTTTTTCTCTCATTTTTTTTAAATTTTCAATCATTTTATCCAATGTGGAACAAAATAGGTAAATAAGTTAAAATATTATATGTAAAATCCTCCATATATTTTCAAATATGTAAAATAAAATACGGTTGAAAAAGTGTACGAGGCTTAGAAAAAACACGTGAATACATAAATAATCAAGCCTAAAGTCCCATGCCTAATTTCAGTCAATTGCAGTTTTGAAGCCTTACCGGTTTCTTTCTCAAAACTATAAACATTATTTCGTGGTAGAGTTAATCTGCTCTATAAAATAGAGTATAGTTTCATATTATTGGTCGAGAAATGTCTAAAAAAAGGGAAAATTTATAAAGTAGAAAGATGTAGCAAGTCTGTACAACAACCGAAATGAACACAGATGAAAAATATACAGGACATAAATAAAAATGGGTTTTTAAATGTCAGTAATGTAAACATTTTATTGTAAAAATAAGCTAATCTGTTCTAAAGGTACATCCTACATACACTCTTCCTCATCCAACCCTAAATCAGTAAAATTACTAATTAGGCCACCCTACAATTATACAAATTTCTTCTTTTCTTATCTAACCTCAGCTAATGTTAACTCACTCTCAAATTAAGGCTAAAGGACCTAACAGTAACCTGAATAAATTTTTAAAACTATCCCTCCAGTTTTACTACCGATTACGTATGTACAACTCCATTTGGCTATTCCCATAATTCAGGAAGATATGCATTCCATAAACGAATAGGCACATAAAAACAACATGAACAACCAGCTTATCTCCTTCTGCTCCACTGTTAAAAACCTCGATGTTACCTTCGACGAAAACCTTTCCTGGAAACCACAAATGTCCCAAATTTCCCGTCGCTGTATTGACCCTTACTCCATTCCGCCAGTCCTAGCTCCTTCTACCTTTCACCAACTCCTTGTCTCCTCCCTTATCTTTCTTCTTTCGATTATAGTTGGATCGCTTTTGCTTTTCTTTTTTACTTTCGGAGGAACTAGCAGAGCGTATAACAAGACTGATGAATTGTTGTGTCAAATTTATTTTCCGCATCCCCCCCCCCAATGTCAAGGGTATCTCACCTATATTCAGATCTACCCTGGTTTTATCCCTCTTTCCGTAAAAAGTATTTTCCTAGGCTCCTTCCTTTAACATAAACTCTCGTCGACCTCACTATATTTTCAAGGTACTTCAGTTGAAATCCTCTATACACTGTCTTAACACCCGCTCGTTTACCAATGACCCAATATCTTCCTCATCATAAAACCTCCATATTTGAGAAGTCCTTCCTAGCTCGAGCCACAAATCTCCGAAATTCTCTTACTTTATCAATCCGCAAAGCTAGACAGCTTTTACTTTACTTCTTTTAAATCCCGCCTGTACCAACACCTCATCTTCCTACAACATAGTTCACAATATTATTCGGTCCTCTGGCAACATTAGAAAACTTGTTACTTTCCTTTTCTCAACTTTTAAGTTTACAGTATGTCATTAAGTATGTTCGTATATGACCAAGAATTGTTTATTATTACTACTTTTCTTTAAATCCTTATTATTGCTTCTATTATTTCAATTTTTTGTATTTGTGTTATGTGATTTAGTTCAACTTTTTTACTTGATGTTAACGATAAACCATTATTAATTCAAGTGCCATGTTTGTAAAACGTTTTGTGATGTTTCTGTTATTCTTAGGGCACTCTAGTCCAAGAATAAAGTTCTCTCAGTCACTCACTCTCTCTCCATCTCTCTCTCTCTCTCTCTCTCTCTCTCTCTCTCTCTCTCTCTCTCTTTCTCTCTCTAAATCTCATCGTAAGTATTGGTACTGTAATAACACTTCGCACCTGTTTGCTTAATTTTTTAATTATAATGTTAATAATAAATTATTAAATTACATATATTATTTGGCTGTAATAGTCTGCCTTCCTTGATTTTGCTGTTATTGTTGTTATTTATTCTTGACGATCTTCCTTGCATGTATGAGCATTGTATTATTACGAAAGATTGTTAAAAATTTACTGTACCGCAGGATTGGAAAGAAGGCAGATGGGCCGAATTAAATATTATAATTGAAACTCTGGTAAATCTGTTTTTACGGTCCGACAACCCGGAGGAGAGGGTGGCAGAAGTAAGGGAACCGGTAAGATTTATCTCGCCCACCCCGACTTTATCATCCCCTTTCCGAACGGGCCCAAGTCGTGTATATGTTTGATGGCCCCCGGGGGAGCCCTAAAGCCCCCAACCACAACAGCTTCTAATCCTCAGGCCCTTAGGACCGACAATTGCCCTTTGATTTTTTTATAACGCCAGCCCCGGGGGCCGCCATCGGTGATTTGTTGCCGGTGTAATGGCCCGACCCCTTTCCTTCTGCCCCCTTTTAATTACGGTTCCTATCGCATGGTCATCTAATTTTAATCGGCTTTATTTTTCTTCTTTAATCTATTCAATACAAATATATTATGAAAATATACAAAACTGAGATATAAGGTAGTGCAGAGGTTGTTACCGACTTTTTAAAATTCATATATTGTCTCCCATTTGAAAACAACATTAAGTGATGTAAAACATCTCTTAACTTAGCAAGCCGGTTTTTCTTCATTCTGCGCGAGATTTTTGGACCATTTTGGATTGTTATGACACATACAACATCAGCACCAATGGGGATATTGAGATTATAGTGCAGTACCAAGTGGCGCAGAAATGGACGCACTCCAGTCCATAATCCTTTGCATTCATTTTGTGCGACTTGATTTTTTGGAAGTCAGCACAGACAGCACACACTCCCCATGGGTCAGATGAAAGATATGTAAAAAACCGAGGAGACCTGGGCAAAGTATGTGCTTATTGTCCAAACCACTTGTCTGTAAGTTTGCCCTCAATGGTGTGGAGTTTATTGATTTACAGTTAATTACTGCGATAACAGAGAATAATTTTCCAACAGAAAGTATTGCATCTTATTGCCGTGGATCTAGGAGCGAATTCGGTTCGCCGACTGCCGGAAGTTCGGGTCTTAGGGAAACTTTACAAAGAAACCAAATGAAAAATGTGGGTTTCTTTTTGGTGGAGTATCAAAAAACCTCGTTTCTCTTTTTGTAAGTACATATATTAAGAATCCGTCCCTTCTTCAGCACATTTGACAACTTATTTTATTACTTATTATTTCCTAATTAGGTGTTTTTCTCTCTTTTTCCTGCGGTTGTGGCAATTGTAAAAGGAACCGAATGAATTCCTTGAAGGTATCAAATATAGTAGAAATACATTTAGACTAAACATTAAATTAAAAGTTGAATTCTCCAACCAAAAACGCCGGTTTCTTCAGACTGGCAAAATTTAACGTTTTTTTCACGTGCCAACCGCGTTTTCTGCAGTGAAGGCTTTTCAAATGCATTAAGGACCGGGCACACGGAGAGGAAGTGGAGTGTCCTCATTCGAGCTGTATATCGAACACTTTGCCTTCCTGTCTCCATCTTCATCGAATGGTTTGGTATTAGGAATGAGCGATTCTGCCCTCAAGTCGAAGATCGCCACGTTGAAATCCACTCCTGCATCGTTTTTTAAGCTTGCACAACTAGACAATTTTGTTCATCAGTTGAGCTTCTATCTTGAATTGTTAATTTCTCGTCAGCGAATTAAAAAAATTGGCGGCCTTTTTCAGTATCTTTCCATCAATCCATGAAAGGTGATCCGGGATATCGTATTTCCTTGCCAGGCATGAGAAATTTTCCGCCCAAAACGCATCTTCTTTTACGGATTCTACTGCAAACTTTTTTCGGAAGGAGGTTGCCAGGCTAGAAGCGCCCGAGGCAATTAAGGTTGAGTATCAACGTAATTTTCAGCGCAACGCTTGTGTCATTTAATTAAATCAGATCTTCCTATCTGCCTACGCTTATTGCTTTTGTCTTTTTATTATCTAGGGTATTTGAATCATGGGGTTTATTGGCGTTGTTATACGCCTCCAGCTATCACAAATTAAACTCAACATATCCAAATCGTGCAGGCTAAAATAACCTCCTTCTTCCCATTAAGAGCATTAATGCTCAAATTAGTCCTTTCAAATTTGGCTTGAGTTTTAAATATCCATTGATTCCATTCCGTCCAATTTTTATATAATATTTATGTATTATTGTAATATTTATGTATATATATCAACATTCCTACGGCTATCCATTTTCCTCACTAGGGAGTAAATTGTGAGGCCACTAGGCGTCTTGGAGGACTGTCGGGATGAAAGGTCTTGAACTAGGG